AAAGATCGTGATAAATATCGGGTAAGAGCTGAAATTCCTTCTTTTAGTGGAAATTTTCTTGAAGTTGAGGATTTTATCGATTGGGTGTCAGAAGTCGAAAATTATTTTGAATTGATGGGTATTTTGCCGAATAAGATGGTAAAATTGGTTAGGTGTGAGTTAAAGGGTTGTGCAGCCGCATGGTGGGATGAAATACAGAGGAAGAGAGCTAGACAAGAAAAATTTCCAATCCAATCATGGAGGAGAATGAGAAAAATGTTGATGGATCGTTTTTTACCCCTAGGTTATGAGCAACGTCTATTCCAACTATATCGTAATTGTTCGCAAGGGAGTAGATCTGTTAACAAGTATACTGCTGAGTTTATGAGACTAGCAAACTTAAATAACCTGCAAGAATCCGAAAGTATGGAAATTTCAAGGTACTTGCAAGGATTGAATATTTCAATCCGTCTTAGGATGGGGTGGCGCGCATTCGACTCACTTGAAGAGGCTGAAGAGTTTGCATGGAGCGAGGAATATTATCAGAAGCGAAATAGTTCTTCTAGAAAAATCAAAGATGTTCCACCCGTTGCCAAAGTTAAGAAGGTACAAGATACTTCATTCGTTATTCAAGAACCCAGTTTGGTGGAGGATCATGGCGTACGAGTTAACAAAGTTGAAGAAGAAATTGTTGATGTAAAAGTTAAAATTAGCGTAGCTATTATTAACGATGGCATTAACGAAGTCAAAGTGAACATCGACGAAGTTGAAGGGACATTCAACGAGCTTGAAGCGAGCATCAACAACGTTGAAGAGAGCGACAATAGGATAGAAGACAATGTTAGCAAGCTTGAAGAAGAAGTCGATGAGTTTAAAGAGGGTGTTAAAAATAAATTTGAGGAAGAATTTGAAGTTGTAAAATTTGTTCAAGAAGAGGAAGGTGCACGTGAAGAGAAGGAACAAGTGGATTGCGTTGAGGTGTGTGATCTAATTGTAGATAGTGTTTGTTGTGAAGTTCCTGTATCGGAGAAATTGGTGGAGCCATTGAGATTTTCGATTAAGAAGCCAATGTTACCAACGCCTCGTTTGGAAGAAGATTTTGTAAGCGAGATTTTTGTGCCGGAAATATTGGTGGAGCACTTGAAGTTGTTTGCAAAGGAATATGCATCGCTATATTTTGATCATAGCTCGAGGTCGAGCTCTTTTGAAGAAGAGGAGATTGATAAGGGACGTCAAATTGGATTCGAGTTGCAAAATAACTATTTAATTCGGAGAAGAGTTATTAATGGGCATTGGTGGAAATATCGAAAGAAATTATGGAAAAGTAAGGTTTTCGAAAAACTCAAATTGTATTTGAGTACGAAACAAACTCTATCTCAAGTGAAACGGCGCAAGGAACAAAACTCATGAGCAAAGCTCATGAATCACGTCAAGTTTCAGCAATCCAACGTCGTTTAGACTCCCAAAAGTTCGTTTTTGCTATTTTAGGTAAGTTTTAGAAAATTAATATCAAATCATATAAAAATCGGATTAGGATTCCGTAAATTGGGTTGTTCCCAAAATTACGAGATCTACTAGAATCAAACTCTAACTCGTTTTTGCCGTTTTTGGTAATTTTTAGTATTTTCTTAATTTAATTAGGGTTTTCAGTTTTTTAGTTTAAATAGCTGCCTTAGGACTTTATTTTAAAAGATTTTCGAATTTTAATAAAATTATTTAGAGTTTTCTCTATTTTTCTGGTGGATTCCAGAGTTTTCGGTGGATTCCGAATGTTATTTTGTTCTATAGGATTAATTCGTAGAAATTAATTCTTTACCGTGCTTCCGTTCTGCGTCAGAGTGTTTCTTTAACTACATTTCCTGGAAGGGGGTTCTTGTTAATTTTCCCATCTAATTAATGTCGTAACTTATTTAATAGGGCACAACAACAGGTACCAAAATCAAGAAGAAGAAAAATCCATCATTTATATAGTTGGTGTCGATGTCGAATAGTATAGAAAACAAAGTTAAAACTGTCCCATTTTCACCCATAATTACTAACCCATGCAATGGAAACAATGCATAAGGTGAAATTTAGAGGTTTCACAATCGATTCATAATAAAAATTACACGATTGAAAGAAATTAGACATACCTTCTACAAAGTAAAAATTAAAAAAAAAAAAAAAAAAAGAATGAAAAGAAAAGAAAAAGAAATTAGGCATACAAGAACACCACTGAAAATAAAAAAAATCACACAATTAAGTGAATACATCTCACCCTATTATTCTTAACTGACAACATAATAAAACATGATACTACACATACAAGGTCGAATCAGACAACCTAGGAGTTGGGATACCAAACAATGGTGTAGTTTTCCTCAAGGCAATCCCGAATGTTTCGGACATATCAATCGTCTCCCCTTGTTCTATTTTCCAATCGAAAGAATGCAAAAGCGAAGCCAGAAAATATAATAGCATTCTCTCCGCAAGTGGTATGCCGGCACAAATCCTTCTCCCCGATCCAAATGGTAGATAATGAAAATGGTTACCTCTATAATCACATTTCCCATTATTATTATCATCAAGAAATCTCTCCGGCTTGAATTCCATCGGATTATCCCAAATCGAAGGATCTCTTTGTATCGAACATATATTTATAAAGACCATTGTATTCTTGGGGATAGTGTACCCCCCGACTGTCGAAGTATCAGATGTACACCGTGGAAGCAAAAGGGGTCCCGGTGGATATAAGCGCAATGTTTCTTTGATAACTGCTTCCAAATATTTCAATTTCGGGATATGACACTCTTCGACAATGTTGTTCAATCCCACGACTTCGGTTAATTCTTTTTGTGCCTTTGTCATGACGCCCGGGTTATTCATAAGCCCAGCCATTGCCCACTCAACTGTTGTCGCCGTAGTGTCGGTGCCAGCTGACACAACATCCTATAATTAATTAAGTATTAATTGTTAGTCAACAAGTACTTAATTTTTGTGCAAAAAAGTTTTCAAAAAAAAAAAAGACAATGTAAGATTACCATTAATAAGGCCTTGACTTGCTTGTGACTAATTGGCATATCTGAATCTTGTTTGTTTTGAAGCTCCAACAAGGTTTGAAGAAAATCCTTTCTTCCTGATCGTTTCTCGCGAATCATTTCTCCAGCTGACGATAACGTGCTTTTGTGTTGAGCAATAACATCTTCGAAAATTGCGTCCAAAGATTGCATATACACCTCCATCTGTTTCTTGACTCCTTGAATATCCAATCCCGCAATAAGTGGATAGAAATCGGAAATGTTTGGCTTTCCGAATAAATCAATAACCTTCGAGATCACGCCGCAGAACTCCGCTTCGATTTTCCGGCCTTGCTCCCCTGCTTCAATAGTCCCACCCCACAGCATATTCATCATGACATTAAGTTCGGTCCGGAAACCCAAGCGGCCGATTTCAACGGGCTTCCCGACGTCGTCGTGGACCCGTCTGATTGCCTTTCTAACATGGTCTGTACGAAGAACACGGGATTCCTCGAGGCATTTGTTGCTCATCATTTCTTGAACAAATATCTTTCTCATCGCCCTCCAACGCGAATTCGGCTCCGAAAACGCAACGTCGTTCCCACCGTAGCTGGCGACGAATGCTGCAACCGGAGTGTCCCGATGCGAGAAAACGCCGTCCTTTTCGCGGACCACCTCTTTCACAAGGGACGGTGAGCTTATCACGACAAGGAGTTTGTTGCCGAGGTAGAGCTTAAAGATTGGACCGTATTTATGTCCTAATTTTGTTAACTGATTTAATAAGTCTTTGCCAATTAGAAAGGGCAAGTATCCTAGGACTGGAAATCCCCAGGGGCCAGGTGGTAATAATGTATTAGGATTTCTGTTGTACCAGATACTAATGGAGATTAGTAACAAAGAAACTGATACAATTGAAGCTATGTATAACTCATCCATTTTTTTTTTCTTTCTATTGTTGGCTATAACTTATTACTGATGGGAGGTAGGCTCTATACACATATATATATACTGAAATTAATTGGCGTACATGATTTAGATCTGGATTTTTAACTATGGTTGAGTTAGTAGAAATTTAATATATTATTATATAACAAGGGGTTGGATATCATTTGATTACATGAATATAAAAATAAGCACGCATAATATGAAAAGAACACGACTGCGCAGCCTATATTAGGATGAATTTACAAGAAAATCCCTTACCTTAGGTTAATATACAAAAGTACCCATCACATATCCATAGTTAGGGAAATTCTCCCAAGTTTGTTGGGTCTTACGTTGTTCTCTTACAGTGTGAAATTTAGCGAAATCTTTATTATTTCGTGGAATATTTCCTCGTATAAAATACCAATTTTACACTAGGTAATTTGTAATAAATATTATTTCATGAGGAGGCTAATTGTGATATTTTATTATTTACGCGCGTACCACCACATTACTCAACCACAAATCAATTTCAACTTCAACATAATAATTCCTCCACATATTTTGTTATAATCACACAAAACAACGGTCATTTTCTTTATTATCCATTGAAATGTATGTGTAAATACAATAATCTAGCTCATGTTTGTACTTTTTTTTTAGATCCATGGATAGCATCGAATATGCGGAGAATTCGACAAGAAGACAACCCTGCGATGTTGTATAGCATGCAACGACATGATTCACGTTTAGTTTATGGATGAATATTCAGTGGATGCACGGGGATATTTTTTTTTTTCTAGATATAATTCTTTTTTTCACCCATGGTTCTGTGTTTTCATCCATTGATTATATTTGCGATAGTTGTAAAATTATTTCCGATAAAGAACCATTGAATGTTGATGAAGTTGAACATGCAATAGAAAAAAATTAAATCGTGTATTAATTGATTTGTAATTAAAAAAAAATCAACTTCAACATAGTTTTTACAATAACTTCTATTGTTTTTTTAATATTGTGATTGTTAAATTCTTCTATTGTTTTTTGTATTTAATTAGTATTTTTCGTATGCGATGCACAGGATATCATTTCAAAAGTGTAAATAATAATTAGTTTAATACATGACAAGACAATTATAATAAAATTTATTAGTGATATCGGTAACAATATCAACAATTATACAAATTTAATAATATATACTTATTCCGAAAAAAAAAAAAGAAATTCTATAAACTTAACTGCCATGATATAATATTGATCATTAAATAACTGAAGCATAAAAGAATTTCAATCGCAATTCCAAATCCAAAAATTTTGGAATCTAAAAATTCATTCCAGTTTCACTTGGCCCGGAAATTTCGGAATTTCAAAATAAATTCATAAATCAAATAAGTTTTAAAATTTCAATACTTAGCAGAAATTTTCTAAAAATTTCATAATTAACGAAAAATAAAAACATCCACGTTGATAAAAGTAAATTTAATAACTACTAAATTTCAATTCAAAAAATAATACAAGTAAATCATAATAGCCAACAAAACTTCTAACGACAATAAATATGTCAAAATCCTAAAACAAGACATAAATCAAATTACTCTTTCAGGAAAAAAAAAAAACTCTTAAAATAAGTCTTGTATATTACTTTTGGGAAGAAAATCGTAATTTTTTGGAGTTAATTTTGGAAATTAAATCGAATCGGAAATCGAAAATTCCAATTTCTTTTACATAATTCCAATTTCAATCCAAAAATATCGTAAATATTCGAACTTCGGAATTTTGGCTGTTATATTTGAGTACCTCTATTAGAGAACAATATACAATATAATTCAATTTACTATGACAATGGTAATAGAGCCATATATATAGCTTTTTTGTGTGTGTGTGTGTGTGTCTTCTTCATCCCCACGCTTTGCGTTTGCTAAGAAAAATGTCATTGCAATTTTCTTTCCCCTTATTTCTCGATCTTCCACCGCAAAGAAAAACATCATAGGTTATTGCTCTTATTTTACTTTCCAGTCAAACAGTTTGTGGTGTTTCTTCTTCTTTTAGGAAATCATAGAATAATAATATATGAAAAATATGCAAGTTGCAAATACAATATTGAAAAAGATGTTCCCGGTGCGTTAAGATAGTCCACTACGTAACATGCGCATCAGCTTTTGAGATTCAGTATAGTTTTATGGGATTATTTGTCAAAAGTCCCCCATTACACAAGTCTAATTACAGTAGGTACAATTTTTTAGAACTTTTTGAGATAAATCAATTTAATTATTAAATAATAAAAAATAATAAATTATCACTATTATACCCCCAACTTAAAAGTAACGTATATTTTATGATTGGAAATAAAAAAAACTAAAAAAGATTTGTAATATCTTTTCCTATTTTATCGTAACAACACATCCTCATATAATCCCACGATTGCGGCCCTTAATTACAGAGAAACCGTTTCATAGCTATCTCTGTATTTTTTCCACACTTCTTCTACCGATCCGATTGTAGGACCAGAACGTTTCATATTAACAACACACAGAGTGGTTCTCGTGCTATTACGCAAACTCTGTAAGTTCTTAATAGTCATGTTTTTTTTTTTTTTTTTTTTTTTTTTTTTGTGTTCGAAATTATGTTTACATCAATTCAAAACCCTAGTATATTCTGATTCGACACCATCCGCACCGTTTCTAAGCTGGGTTAATTTTCTCCGTCGTCTGTTCTTCAAGGTAAACTCCAATTCCAGCCTCCCGGAGACAATCTTTATCGCCATATTCATTGATTTTGTTTTCTGCAATTGTAATCACGTAGATTATGTACTCTTACTTTATTTTTCTTATTTATTATTATTTATTATTTTTCTGCTTGATTTTCTGTAGCAAGGATGAGTCGCTCTAGCAGAACTCTCTATGTCGGTAACCTCCCCGGTGACATTCGGGAGCGAGAAGTGGAAGATCTTTTCTACAAGGTTATACATGTTCATTTTGATTAAGTTTCAACTTAACCTTATAGTGAAGCACAACAGAGCCCTAATCCTTTACTATTTCTGTTTTTCTGCTTTATCAGATAATTGTTCGTATACTATTCCATAGATTTCCGAAGGTCTAGATTAAATTACTGAATAATTTGAGATTTTTTTGTTCTAGTATTTCATATTTTTTTCTAACTCTTTTTTGCGTTACTTCCTTGCTAATTCAAGTCATTATTAGGATATATAGGATAAATTAGGCGAAATCAGCTCACAATTTTTGGTAATGGATATTCATTGCCACACGTTGGGAATTCTATTTTCCTAGATATATTGTAATTTTGTATGAGGGATATTAGTATGATATTTGAATTTTATATTATTTTATGCATTTAAGAATCCAGTTTTCAATATTTTGGTAATTTATACGAGGATATCAATATTAGTTTATGGCTCAAATTTTCAGGACGCAATGGAATAACGAGAAGAAGATGATTACACGGATTATGCTCGAAGGTTCATTGGAGAGAAGATGGTGTCCTTTATAGTGGTTTTATAGCTTTTTTTTCGTTGAAATTTGATGTTTTATTGTTAGAATTCATAGTGGTTTTCGATGTTTATATAGTTGTGTATACAGAGTGGTTTTCATGTTTATATAGTTGTTTATACGGAGTGGTTTTCATAATGTCATGCTTTGTCTTTGATAAATTTATACGGAGTGATAAATTTATTGTACATATTTTTATATAACTGTATATACAGAGTGGTTTTTATGTTGACATAGTTGTTATACATAGTGGTTTTCAAGTTTACATAGTTGTTATACAGAGTGGTTTTCATGTTATATAATATGTTATACAGAGTGGTTTTCATGTTATATAGTTATTATACAGAGTGATTTTCATGTTTATATAACTATTTATACAAAGTGGTTTTCGTGTTTATATAGAGTGGTTTTTATTTAAAAAAACTGGAAAGAAAAAAAAAACATTTTTAAAAAAAATCGAAATTAAGAAAAAAGAAAAACCATGAAAAAACGAAAATAAAAATAAAACTATTTTTTTTAATTAAAATAAAAAATATCAAAAATATAAATAAGAAAAAAATAATTTAAAATAAAAAACCGAAAATAAAATAAAAATAAAAATAAAAATAACTACAAAATTTTATTTAAATCGAAATAAAGAAAACTATTAAACAAAATAAAAAAGAAAAGGAGAAAAAAAACTGAATTGGCGTGATGAGGGGAATAATTTTTGGAGAAGATTTGGGTGTAGATTATGGGTATAATTTGTTTGTAATTAAATAATTATACTAATAATTAATTAATGGGGGCATATATGGTTTTTCAGGTCCATTGGATTTATCTCAAATATCATTAATAAATAAAGGATTTATCAAGAATTAAAATTGCAATGAAGGGTGTTTGACATATAGCCCCTAGTTTTATTTATTAGAATTAAGAACTGCACAAGCATCTTTCCTTTTTATATTAGCCATGCTTCTAGAAAGGAGTTTATTATACATTTATACTACTAATTATTTTCGGTGATATCAAACTCATTTAATATAAAATGATGAATTTAATGGAACCGGGATAATTACAAATTTGGTCCTCCAAGTTTGCACGTTTTTCAGTTTTGGTCCCCCATTTACCGCCGTCAACAAAATACACACTAATGTTGTCAAATTTTAACACATTTAGTCCCTCCGTCTGTTTGACGGTTAAGTAGTAACGGTCAACTGTTGAATTAGGGTTGAATTTGGGATTTTTCATAGATACAAATTGCACTCAGACCCCTGCATTCTTTCAATATATTCTAGAACCCCCTAAAATTTCACCCAACCATAATTTAACCCCAATTTAATCATTTAATCAATTTTGACAAACGACCCCGATTTTTTACCACCATTACCGTTGACCCTTGACCGCCGTTGATTTTTTTTTTGTACTTTTTTTTTCGGCATTGAGTTTTTTTATTTACTATTGATTTTGACGCCGTTCACCGATATTGTATTCTCGGTTAACAATGTTGACTTTTTTTATTTTTCTTGATTTTTTACGAACTTTTTCCTTTAACTTTTTTTTTCCGATCAACACAATTACTGTATAACACAATAATAATACTATATTAATATCTTGTAATATAAAAATTACAACCTTCTAAGAAAGTTTTTATCTGAAATTTTAGGGCCTAAATACAATTTTAAAAAAATTCTAAAATCCATAATTTCTTCCCCTCAATTTTTTCTTCGTGGAACCGCGAGTGCGTCTCAAATT